TTGAAATATCCATTTAGCCTCACTTTTGTCAAGAGCTTTTTCGTAGTCTCCTCCCCTCCAATGCAAGTTCACTTTTTCAATAGCATAAAATTCTAAACCTGCTGGATTATTGGAGTGGCAACTTGCAAAATGTCTGGAGAGATTATGTGTAGTAAGTCCCTTTTTAATGTTGCGAATATGTTCTCCTAGTCTAATTTTAAACTTTCTTTTTGTCCGACCTATATAGTGTTTCTTACAGGGACATATTAGGAGGTAGATAACTCCAATGGTATTGCAACTTAGATCTGATTTTATTTCAAATTCTTCATCCCCTTTCATGTTTTCAAATTTCTTTGTTAGACCTGTTTGGGTTGGATTGTTTCTACAACCAGAGCATCTATTACATTTTCGAAATCCACCAGCTTTTTGATTATTGCTTGATAGTTTGATTTCTTTTATCGTTGGGGCTAATATGGTTTTGAGATTGGGCGCCTTTGAGTAGAAAATCTTTGGTCTATCATCTAATATCATACCCAGTGAACTATCTTCTTTAAGGATTCTCCAATGCTTATTCAGAATATGCTTTATTTTTCCTGCTTGATTGCTAAATTGTGTGATAAACGCTGGGGTTTCCGTCTCCATTTTCGATGTCTTATTCTTACTTATCAATGTTTCTTCCCTAGATAATTTCAGGGCTTTATCCATTGCGTTAGTCAACATGTTGTTATCATATCCTTTTTTGAGAAATTGGTTTTTCATCTCCTCCATTTGATTTATACAAATATCCAATTCTGTACAATTCCGTCTTATCCGTCTGAATTGTCCATAAGGTATGTTGTCCAGCCAAGTTTTCTTGTGATGGCTGTCTGAGGGAATAAAGCTATTACAAGCAACAGATTTTCTAAATGTTTTTGTACAGATCCTCTCCTCTTTGATGTAGATTTCTAGATCTAGAAATTCTACCGAAACTTTTGAATGATTAAAAGTGAACTTTAAATTATAAGGATTAAGATTGAGGTAGTTCTTGAATTCATTAAGGGAACATAGATCGCCTTTCCAAATAAAGATACAATCATCTATGTATCGCCGCCATAGGACCAGGTTTGCACTATGTGGGGTATTGCTCCAAATGAATTCTTCTTCCCACTTTCCCATAAATAAATTTGCATAACTTGGTGCAAACCTGGTACCCATGGCGGTACCCTCTGTCTGGAGATAAAATCGATGTTGTGCCCAAAAGGTATTGTGACTCAGAATAAATGCAATTGCTTGAACAAGAAAACTGATCTGATCATTCTTTAGCTCAGAGTATTTAGCGAAGGAGTGTTGTATAGCTTCACATCCTTGAAGATGTTCAATAATCGTATATAAAGATGTCACATCAGCCGTTACTAAAAAATATCCTTCTTCCCATTCAATATTTGATAAAGCTTTAATAATTTGTGTGGTATCTTTCAAATATGATGGAAGTTGGATCACCATCGGTTGTAGGAACTGATCTACATATTGGGAAAGATTGGATGTCAGTGAATTAATTCCTGAAATAATTGGCCTTCCAGGGGGATTGATAAGACTTTTGTGGATCTTAGGCAAATGATAAAAAACTGCCGTTCTTGGATATTTACACCAGATAAAATCATATTCTCTTTTATTTAAAATTCCTCTAAGTTTACCATCATTTATTAATTCCAAAAATTCTTCCATACATATCTTCTGAGGATTTTCTGTAAGGGGTAAATATGTATTAGTATCACTGAGCAGTCTGGTGGTTTCCTTCTCATAATCCACAGTGTTCATTAAGACTACTCCTCCCCCTTTGTCGGCAGATCTTATTATTATGTCAGGGTTGTTAGTAAGTGCTTTCAGAACTTGCCTTTCTTTGAAGGTTAAGTTGTCTTTAACCTTTCTTCCTTTCTCCAGCTTACGCAAGTCTTTCTCAACTAATCTTTCAAAAACCCTAATTGTGTCATTTTTGACTTGTTTTGGGTAAAAAATGGATTGTGGATGAAGATTTGTGTGTATATATCTCTCCTCTTCAGTCTGTTTTGAATATTTGTTTTCTAAAAAATATTTTTTGACTGTCAATTTCCTTATAAATTTATGGAGATCTATAAAGGTGTTAAATCGTGAGTTTTTCTTGTTGGGAGCGAATTTTAAGCCTTTTTTGAGTATATTCATCTCATTAGTATTCAGATGGTAATCAGATAGGTTGAATACACTCTCTTCTCCATCGTTCTCTCCTATATTCGTTATATCTGGATTATTTCTCCTCTGTCTTCCTCTCTTCTTTGCCTTTTTCTTTGTATTGGAGACCGTAATATTTCTCCCCTCTCTCTCCATGATTTCTTTACAGCCATTCTCGTCTCCTCTCTCTTCTCTAAAAAATCCCCTAAAAAATCTTTTTGATGGGGTGAAATGATAGATGGTGTTAAACATTGTTTGGTCCTAGGGGAATTAATATGTATTTCCCTTCTGTCTTTACACAATCTTTCGTCTTTTTGTAAAATATCACTCCTCCGTTTCTCATTTCTTATATGATTATTCTCTAAATATAACCCACCTTTCGAGGGGGATTGTCGTGGGTTATATTTGTATTTCTGTCTCTCATATGTACCTCTTTGAGATTCTGATCCTCTCCTCTCCATTGTTCTCCCTTGATTTCTAAAATGATTTCTGGAATTGTTGGGGGAATGGTGGTAATTGTGATAATGTGCCCTTTCTTGTATATTTCTTACTGGATTAAATCTCTTCTTCTCCATTCCTCTCACTTGGTTTTTCCAAACGTGTTCTCTTCTATTTGGGGTTCTGTTTTTCTCCCATTGTTGGTGTATAGCCCATTCTGATTTGGTATAGTTCTGTTTCTTCCAATTTCTTTGTACCCCTTTATCATAATCTTCTTTATCTCTCATAATTTTTCTCCTTTTGCCTTCTCCTATTTTATTATCCAAGTCTTTTACTTTCCTCTCTATCTTATCGAGTAATTCTGCATATAATCCATTTTCAGTTTCAGGAGATAAGTCTGTTTTTAATTGTTCAATTTCAATTTCTAATTGTTCCAACTCTTTCTTTTTTTCCCCAATTAGGAAGATAATTAAAAGTAGGGACCCCTTATCTAGTAATTGGTCCCATTTTTTCAATATATTTTCATCTTTCCTTTTATAAGCTAGGGGTTTTTGTAACCTCAATCCCCTTGGTACTAGATTGTTGGAAACATAGAATTCGAAACTGGTGATGTCCCACCAGATTTGGGTTTCTTTCTCTAATAAATCTCTCCAGACATTTTGCAAGTTGCCACTCCAATAATCCAGCAGGTTTAGAATTTTATGCTATTGAAAAAGTGAACTTGCATTGGAGGGGAGGAGACTACGAAAAAGCTCTTGACAAAAGTGAGGCTAAATGGATATTTCAACTTAATAGTTTAGAGCCCTTTGGTTTAAATATTGATTTTGAACTAAATGCTTTTCTTTAATTACTTAATTTTTTTTTTTCAGTGTGTATCTATAACAAATGAATTTTACAATTAATAATGTGTTTATCTTTCTCCTCTTCTCTCTCCAGGTGATTTATAAATCAATGAAATTAATTAAATTTTTTAATAAATTTTTTTTTTTTTTTTTTTAATTTTCCAAATTTTTATAAATTTTTAACTTTTTGATAAATTAATTTTTATTTTTTGAATTGCTATACTTTATATTTATATATATTCATAACCCATCCTTAGAGTATTTCTATTATGCAAGAAATTTTTAATCTATTGATCACTGCTTTTGGGATGTATTTGTGAAGGAATATAAGATTTTATAATGTATTTATAATAACCAATATACCACATAATATGTTAGAATTTCTTTAGTATTTGGTTATTTGGTTGTTTGTCCTTTATATATTTTCCTTGTTTTATATATTGCCCCTCTCTATATTGTCCCCTTTTATATTGCCTTTGTATAATTCCCCTTTTTTTTTTTTATGGTTATTAGTTTTCCATTATATATGTGTGGCTAAAAACAAACAATATATCATGTGTCAACTTCTTATATTATTTATACTGATATGAATTGCAACATTGTACATAGACTTAAGGGTTAACGTGATACTAATGAAGACAGACAGAACAAGTATAAAAAGAAGATTGCAGACTCCATGATGCCATCCTCTGATGAAGTGATCAAGAATCACGAAACTAGTAAGGCGGCATCTGCAAACCAATACACATTGGTCCCGAGAGTGAGCACCTCTGACACGCATCCTGAGCCGCAGTGGAACGCACGCGGCTAGAAACCAGCAGCATACAGCACGAGGAAAATCCAATTCACTTCTGTCTGGCCGGCAAGAAAGTGATCTTTTGGGCTCGAGGTCTGTTAAACCTGGTACTGGTGCTATCTTTTTTGTAACTCATGTTTGGGACCCCCTTTTTTATCAATAGCTACATGTGTGTGTAGCATTTTTTATCATTCAATAAACTTTAAAAAGTATCTGTCTGCTGCAGTGGATTTTAACCCTTGGAGGGGCTTGATTCTAACTTTTTACACATATTTACTAGCCATATATATTGGATTCATAACTTATTGGAACTTATATTAGATTAATTTCAGCAGTCCATAGACTCTGCCTTCCTTATCTAATAGGTGGTGATGACAGGACCAGCTGATACATTTGTATTCGAATAAGAGAGCAAACATTAACATTCATTTATTGTGAAGTGCTCTACACATCTCCATTTCCACTAAATCCTATGTATTTTTAATTGATTTTTTCAATTAGTGTGTTTTATTTTGATTGCTTAACCCCTGGTGGTGGTTATTTTATACTAGTGATACAGTGGTTATGGTAGCCGTATCTAATCTTTATTTTTAATCTTAGAAAGATACTCTACCGAATTTGTTTGGTGTATATCTACTAAGTTTTATCATATTGTTGTTCATTTTACCACCAACAAAAGATAAGATATGGCTTTAAATAGAAATTTGAATTTCATTAGAGAAAACAGGAGAAATACATTTCACCAAATGATGTCTAACGAGATGAATGGAACAAAGAGGGTTAATGATCATACTCCCTCACCCCAACCAACATGTACCAGATTGAAAATCTACAAATTAGGAGATTTATTAGAGAAAGAAACCCAAATCTGGTGGGACATCACCAGTTTCGAATTCTATGTTTCCAACAATCTAGTACCAAGGGGATTGAGGTTACAAAAACCCCTAGCTTATAAAAGGAAAGATGAAAATATATTGAAAAAATGGGACCAATTACTAGATAAGGGGTCCCTACTTTTAATTATCTTCCTAATTGGGGAAAAAAAGAAAGAGTTGGAACAATTAGAAATTGAAATTGAACAATTAAAAACAGACTTATCTCCTGAAACTGAAAATGGATTATATGCAGAATTACTCGATAAGATAGAGAGGAAAGTAAAAGACTTGGATAATAAAATAGGAGAAGGCAAAAGGAGAAAAATTATGAGAGATAAAGAAGATTATGATAAAGGGGTACAAAGAAATTGGAAGAAACAGAACTATACCAAATCAGAATGGGCTATACACCAACAATGGGAGAAAAACAGAACCCCAAATAGAAGAGAACACGTTTGGAAAAACCAAGTGAGAGGAATGGAGAAGAAGAGATTTAATCCAGTAAGAAATATACAAGAAAGGGCACATTATCACAATTACCACCATTCCCCCAACAATTCCAGAAATCATTTTAGAAATCAAGGGAGAACAATGGAGAGGAGAGGATCAGAATCTCAAAGAGGTACATATGAGAGACAGAAATACAAATATAACCCACGACAATCCCCCTCGAAAGGTGGGTTATATTTAGAGAATAATCATATAAGAAATGAGAAACGGAGGAGTGATATTTTACAAAAAGACGAAAGATTGTGTAAAGACAGAAGGGAAATACATATTAATTCCCCTAGGACCAAACAATGTTTAACACCATCTATCATTTCACCCCATCAAAAAGATTTTTATGGGGATTTTTTAGAGAAGAGAGAGGAGACGAGAATGGCTGTAAAGAAATCATGGAGAGAGAGGGGAGAAATATTACGGTCTCCAATACAAAGAAAAAGGCAAAGAAGAGAGGAAGACAGAGGAGAAATAATCCAGATATAACGAATATAGGAGAGAACGATGGAGAAGAGAGTGTATTCAACCTATCTGATTACCATCTGAATACTAATGAGATGAATATACTCAAAAAAGGCTTAAAATTCGCTCCCAACAAGAAAAACTCACGATTTAACACCTTTATAGATCTCCATAAATTTATAAGGAAATTGACAGTCAAAAAATATTTTTTAGAAAACAAATATTCAAAACAGACTGAAGAGGAGAGATATATACACACAAATCTTCATCCACAATCCATTTTTTACCCAAAACAAGTCAAAAATGACACAATTAGGGTTTTTGAAAGATTAGTTGAGAAAGACTTGCGTAAGCTGGAGAAAGGAAGAAAGGTTAAAGACAACTTAACCTTCAAAGAAAGGCAAGTTCTGAAAGCACTTACTAACAACCCTGGCATAATAATAAGATCTGCCGACAAAGGGGGAGGAGTAGTCTTAATGAACACTGTGGATTATGAGAAGGAAACCACCAGACTGCTCAGTGATACTAATACATATTTACCCCTTACAGAAAATCCTCAGAAGATATGTATGGAAGAATTTTTGGAATTAATAAATGATGGTAAACTTAGAGGAATTTTAAATAAAAGAGAATATGATTTTATCTGGTGTAAATATCCAAGAACGGCAGTTTTTTATCATTTGCCTAAGATCCACAAAAGTCTTATCAATCCCCCTGGAAGGCCAATTATTTCAGGAATTAATTCACTGACATCCAATCTTTCCCAATATGTAGATCAGTTCCTACAACCGATGGTGATCCAACTTCCATCATATTTGAAAGATACCACACAAATTATTAAAGCTTTATCAAATATTGAATGGGAAGAAGGATATTTTTTAGTAACGGCTGATGTGACATCTTTATATACGATTATTGAACATCTTCAAGGATGTGAAGCTATACAACACTCCTTCGCTAAATACTCTGAGCTAAAGAATGATCAGATCAGTTTTCTTGTTCAAGCAATTGCATTTATTCTGAGTCACAATACCTTTTGGGCACAACATCGATTTTATCTCCAGACAGAGGGTACCGCCATGGGTACCAGGTTTGCACCAAGTTATGCAAATTTATTTATGGGAAAGTGGGAAGAAGAATTCATTTGGAGCAATACCCCACATAGTGCAAACCTGGTCCTATGGCGGCGATACATAGATGATTGTATCTTTATTTGGAAAGGCGATCTATGTTCCCTTAATGAATTCAAGAACTACCTCAATCTTAATCCTTATAATTTAAAGTTCACTTTTAATCATTCAAAAGTTTCGGTAGAATTTCTAGATCTAGAAATCTACATCAAAGAGGAGAGGATCTGTACAAAAACATTTAGAAAATCTGTTGCTTGTAATAGCTTTATTCCCTCAGACAGCCATCACAAGAAAACTTGGCTGGACAACATACCTTATGGACAATTCAGACGGATAAGACGGAATTGTACAGAATTGGATATTTGTATAAATCAAATGGAGGAGATGAAAAACCAATTTCTCAAAAAAGGATATGATAACAACATGTTGACTAACGCAATGGATAAAGCCCTGAAATTATCTAGGGAAGAAACATTGATAAGTAAGAATAAGACATCAAAAATGGAGACGGAAACCCCAGCGTTTATCACACAATTTAGCAATCAAGCAGGAAAAATAAAGCATATTCTGAATAAGCATTGGAGAATCCTTAAAGAAGATAGTTCACTGGGTATGATATTAGATGATAGACCAAAGATTTTCTACTCAAAGGCGCCCAATCTCAAAACCATATTAGCCCCAACGATAAAAGAAATCAAACTATCAAGCAATAATCAAAAAGCTGGTGGATTTCGAAAATGTAATAGATGCTCTGGTTGTAGAAACAATCCAACCCAAACAGGTCTAACAAAGAAATTTGAAAACATGAAAGGGGATGAAGAATTTGAAATAAAATCAGATCTAAGTTGCAATACCATTGGAGTTATCTACCTCCTAATATGTCCCTGTAAGAAACACTATATAGGTCGGACAAAAAGAAAGTTTAAAATTAGACTAGGAGAACATATTCGCAACATTAAAAAGGGACTTACTATACATAATCTCTCCAGACATTTTGCAAGTTGCCACTCCAATAATCCAGCAGGTTTAGAATTTTATGCTATTGAAAAAGTGAACTTGCATTGGAGGGGAGGAGACTACGAAAAAGCTCTTGACAAAAGTGAGGCTAAATGGATATTTCAACTTAATAGTTTAGAGCCCTTTGGTTTAAATATTGATTTTGAACTAAATGCTTTTCTTTAATTACTTAATTTTTTTTTTTCAGTGTGTATCTATAACAAATGAATTTTACAATTAATAATGTGTTTATCTTTCTCCTCTTCTCTCTCCAGGTGATTTATAAATCAATGAAATTAATTAAATTTTTTAATAAATTTTTTTTTTTTTTTTTTTAATTTTCCAAATTTTTATAAATTTTTAACTTTTTGATAAATTAATTTTTATTTTTTGAATTGCTATACTTTATATTTATATATATTCATAACCCATCCTTAGAGTATTTCTATTATGCAAGAAATTTTTAATCTATTGATCACTGCTTTTGGGATGTATTTGTGAAGGAATATAAGATTTTATAATGTATTTATAATAACCAATATACCACATAATATGTTAGAATTTCTTTAGTATTTGGTTATTTGGTTGTTTGTCCTTTATATATTTTCCTTGTTTTATATATTGCCCCTCTCTATATTGTCCCCTTTTATATTGCCTTTGTATAATTCCCCTTTTTTTTTTTTATGGTTATTAGTTTTCCATTATATATGTGTGGCTAAAAACAAACAATATATCATGTGTCAACTTCTTATATTATTTATACTGATATGAATTGCAACATTGTACATAGACTTAAGGGTTAACGTGATACTAATGAAGACAGACAGAACAAGTATAAAAAGAAGATTGCAGACTCCATGATGCCATCCTCTGATGAAGTGATCAAGAATCACGAAACTAGTAAGGCGGCATCTGCAAACCAATACACATCGGTCCTGAGAGTGAGCACCTCTGACACGCATCCTGAGCCGCAGTGGAACGCACGCGGCTAGAAACCAGCAGCATACAGCACGAGGAAAATCCAATTCACTTCTGTCCGGCCGGCAAGAAAGTGATCTTTTGGGCTCGAGGTCTGTTAAACCTGGTACTGGTGCTATCTTTTTTGTAACTCATGTTTGGGACCCCCTTTTTTATCAATAGCTACATGTGTGTGTAGCATTTTTTTATCATTCAATAAACTTTAAAAAGTATCTGTCTGCTGCAGTGGATTTTAACCCTTGGAGGGGCTTGATTCTAACTTTTTACACATATTTACTAGCCATATATATTGGATTCATAACTTATTGGAACTTATATTAGATTAATTTCAGCAGTCCATAGACTCTGCCTTCCTTATCTAATAGGTGGTGATGACAGGACCAGCTGATACATTTGTATTCGAATAAGAGAGCAAACATTAACATTCATTTATTGTGAAGTGCTCTACACATTTCCATTTCCACTAAATCCTATGTATTTTTAATTGATTTTTTCAATTAGTGTGTTTTATTTTGATTGCTTAACCCCTGGTGGTGGTTATTTTATACTAGTGATACAGTGGTTATGGTAGCCGTATCTAATCTTTATTTTTAATCTTAGAAAGATACTCTACCGAATTTGTTTGGTGTATATCTACTAAGTTTTATCATATTGTTGTGATTGTCTATTGTTGTGACTTAGATGATGATCAGATCACATTTTATGACCAATTTGTGCAGAAATCCATATCATTCCAAAGGGTTTACATACTTTTTCTTGCAACTGTATGTTACTCCCTATATTGATAATGTGTTCTAACTACTCTTGTAGAAAGAGTACAGTAATCGCTTTTTAAACAATATTTAAAAAAAAAATATGTTTAGGGGTATACGTTGTGAAGAACACGGCAGTGATCAAACAACTAGAGAAGGGTAAAAATGGCTTAAAACTAGAGCAAACGGAACAATAAGTAATAGCAGCTCTCTAATCCTTTATAAGTATTAAAAAAGCCTTGCCCTTATGTACTTTTCAATTCTCTTAGTAATTACTGGTAATGTTATTACAATTTAATAAAAAACAATGTAACATTTAAAGGATTAAGTATTTTATTGACGTTAGTAAACATGTCAAACAAAAAAGCTGCTCTTAATGGATATAATTTTATTGTTTTGCTACGTAGCAAACACTTTTTATATTTTATTTACCACACACAGATGGTTTACCTTCAATCAATAACTGCAATATAATATTCGACCTTATGCTATTACAAATTAGATATGTCCAAGAATAATGAAACCTCGGTCAGAATATTCAATAATATTGATTTCATGATTGTTGTAATTATCTGCAGCTTAACAGCAGTCTCCTTATTTATCAGACAAAACCAGCTCTGAATACGACTGCATTTAAACAAGCATTTTATAAAAATGAATACTTTCTGGGTATCTCTGTGGAATGTGTTCTTTAAATGAAATTTTTTGGAATCTTAGTGCCCAAAAAAGCTACAAGCGAATGTGCATTATAACGGTCTGACCAAATAGATTAGGTTTATGTTTTATGCAATATTAGATATTATCTGGGATGAGCTTGCTTGGGTTTTGGCATTTTGGTTTTAGTTATAGTTATGTTGGTTATAGTGTCTGAGGTCTCCTGGTACCGTCATTTCATTCAGCATTAAACAGTTAGTAATGTTTTTATGTATTAATGCTAAACGAGAGTCCCCAACAGTGCCTCCACTCTGTGCAGTTTGGGTTATGAAGAATTATTAAACTGAGTAACAATGGGTAGCTGTGATTGGCTGAGAGTGTCAACTGATTGCTTTTAGCCTATCAGAGCTCCAACTGACGGTATGAATGGGTATGACTACAAGGAGGTGTGTGATCTCTGCCTTAGCCACACCTCCAGAAGGGGCTGGACTGCAGGTGGCCAAGGAATCTTGTT